GCCCCCGCCCAGAGGGCGGGTCTATGCAAATATGACCGGGGGGAGGTAATCTCAGGCCCGTAACCCGCTATGGGAACGGGTGTTACCCCGCGGAACAACCCGCTGCAGGGTCCGCTGGATAAATAGCCCGGCCAGGGCGTTAACCTTTGGGACTCCCCGCCGCAGGGTCTGGTGGAGCAGGGGAATAGGGCAGGCAAGGTGGCATGCTGCAGGTTAACCTCCCTGTCCCAAGGCAGGGGAGGGGGGAATAGCTCAGGCCAGCTCTCCACTCTGAACTCACTCCCCCAGAGGCACAGATCTCAGGAAAAGAATTCTTCTGTTTGAAACTTGGTTTTTATTAGGCCGGTCTCATTCATCCCCCCCCCCCCACACCCCCCCCTCGCCCAACCCACACCAGCGATGGAGTGGGCAGGCAAGGGCCGGCAGGGGAGATGATGGGCCTGGGGTTGGGGGCAGGGCAGGAGGGGAAGTAGAAGCCCCACCCAGAGATGGGGGAGAAGCGAGTGGGGGCCAGCGCAGGATCATACTCAGAGCTCTGCTACATTTTCCTTCCTTTTGTTTTTTTTTGTTTTGTTTGTTTTTTAAAGAAAAAATAAAAGTTTAAAAAAAACATTAAAAAAAGAATGAGGGTCCAGAAAAATCCACCACGTCTGGCGTCGGCCCTGCAGGAGAGAGAGGACAGTTAGGGGAGCGTGAGCCAGCTCTGGGGCGGGGTAGCTGGAGAACAGCCGCATGGAACGCGGCACGGGGATGACTCATTCAGCCGGGCGATGCAGCCAGCTCTGGGGCGGGGTAGCTGGAGAACAGCCGCATGGAACGCGGCACGGGGATGACTCATTCAGCCGGGCGATGCAGCCAGCTCTGGGGCGGGGTAGCTGGAGAACAGCCGCATGGAACGCGGCACGGGGATGACTCATTCAGCCGGGCGATGCAGCCAGCTCTGGGGCGGGGTAGCTGGAGAACAGCCGCATGGAACGCGGCACGGGGATGACTCATTCAGCCGGGCGATGCAGCCAGCTCTGGGGCGGGGTAGCTGGAGAACAGCCGCATGGAACGCGGCACGGGGATGACTCATTCAGCCGGGCGATGCAGCCAGCTCTGGGGCGGGGTAGCTGGAGAACAGCCGCATGGAACGCGGCACGGGGATGACTCATTCAGCCGGGCGATGCAGCCAGCTCTGGGGCGGGGTAGCTGTAGAACAGCCGCATGGAAAAGACTCGTTCAGCCGGGCGATGAGCCAGAGCAGGGGCGAGGGGAGAGTCTGTTTCCCGGGCCCCGCAGCACAGTACAATGCTGCAGCTAGGGGGCCGCGGGCAGGGCGGGGTACCTTGGCGTAGCAACGTTCCATGTGGCGCAGTGCCACCTTGGGGTTGATGGGATGCCCGCAGGAGACGCAGAAGATCTGCAGGTCGGTATCGTCGCTGTCTCCCTCGTTGGTCTGTGGGAGGAGAGCAGGGAGGGCGCTGGAGGGGGATCCCCGAGTACAGGCCAGCCAGGGAGAAAACCCTGGAGTCCTGGCTCTAACCACTAGACCTCACTCCCCTCCCTCAGCCTGGGAGAGAATCCCTGGCTCCTTGCCCCTCCCCCAACCCCCACCTCCCCTCCCAAAGGGGGAGATGGAACCCATATATCCTGAGAGGCTGCAAGCAGCTGCCTGGAGGGGAGGCGGGAAATCCATGGCTGTAGGAAGATCTAGGCAGCATCGCCACATTGTTTAGGAGGGAAACTGAGGCACGTGTGTTCAATGCTGCTTGCCAGAGCCAGGGAGAGAACCCAGGAGTCCTGGCTCCGAAGCCCCCCTGCTCTAACCCCTAGGCCCCAATCCCCTCCCAGAGCCAGGGAGAGAGCCCAGGAGTCCTGGCTCCAAAGCCCCCCTGCTCTAACCCCTAGGCCCCACTCCCCTCCCGTGTGGGGCTGTTCTCGGCCTGGTGCGCAGCATCTCTTCACCGCCTGGCGGTGGGTCCGGGCCGCACGCTGAGGCACTCTAGCGACGTCGCAAAGCGAGGGTCAGGCTGGCAATGCTTTGGGGGACAGGTGTAGGAAGATCTAGGCAGCATCGCCACATTGTTTAGGAGGGAAACTGAGGCACGTGTGTTCAATGCTGCTTGCCAGAGCCAGGGAGAGAACCCAGGAGTCCTGGCTCCGAAGCCCCCCTGCTCTAACCCCTAGGCCCCAATCCCCTCCCAGAGCCAGGGAGAGAGCCCAGGAGTCCTGGCTCCAAAGCCCCCCTGCTCTAACCCCTAGGCCCCAATCCCCTCCCAGAGCCAGGGAGAGAGCCCAGGAGTCCTGGCTCCAAAGCCCCCCTGCTCTAACCCTTAGGCCCCACTCCTCTCCCGTGTGGGGCTGTTCTCGGCCTGGTGCGCAGCATCTCTTCACCGCCTGGCGGTGGGTCCGGGCCGCACGCTGATGGGGAGCAGCTGAATTCAGAGGGGTCGCGTCAGAGCAGCAGGACAACAGAAACGAGGCCTCGGGAGGTCCTGGAAGCGCCTTCGCTGGGGGGTTTCGAGCTGAGGCAGGAGCCATTGGACAACAAATCCGGCCTGTGGCTGGGGCCGGCCTAGGGGACTCGCACGGTCCCCGCGAACGCGACGGGTATAGGAGTCCGCACGGGCGAGGAAGCAGAGACAGCGGGCGACAGCCAGCAGGGAATCGCAGCGGGGTGGGACCCAAGAGCACTGCAACGGTGGAGGGGAGAGGGCGGCAGGGCAGCGGGGGGGAAATCAGCGGGGGAACCATATGGTGAGGGACCCAAGGGCTCAGGTTGCTGGGGGAAGATTTGGAGGATGGACAGAGTCAGCCCAGACGGTCCCAGGGGGGATGGATTTGGAGTGAGCGCCCTGTCCCTCCTCTCCCCACCCCCGGGACTCACCCCTCTATGCGGGTTGGGTACATGGATCCGAAGGACGTCTGGCTCTCATACTGTGGGGAAAAGGAAGAACATAGGGCTCATCAGTGCACCGGGAGGGAGATGGGGCAATGCCGCACAAGGGAAGACTCGTTCAGCCGGGCGATGCAGCCAGCTCTGGGGCGGGGTAGCTGTAGAACAGCCGCATGGAACGCGGCACGGGGAAGACTCGTTCAGCCGGGTGATGCAGCGAGCTCTGGGGCGGGGCAGCTGTGGAGCAGCCCCCAGCCGGGCGATGCAGCCAGCTCTGGGGCGGGGTAGCTGAAGAACAGCCGCATGGAACGTGGCATGGGGAAGACTCATTCAGCCGGGCGATGCAGCCAGCTCTGGGGCGGGGTAGCTGAAGAACAGCCGCATGGAACGTGGCATGGGGAAGACTCATTCAGCCGGGCGATGCAGCCAGCTCTGGGGCGGGGTAGCTGGAGAACAGCCGCATGGAACGCGGCACGGGGAAGACTCGTTCAGCCGGGCGATGCAGCCAGCTCTGGGGCGGGGTAGCTGTAGAACAGCCGCATGGAAAAGACTCGTTCAGCCGGGCGATGAGCCAGAGCAGGGGCGAGGGGAGAGTCTGTTTCCCGGGCCCCGCAGCACAGTACAATGCTGCAGCTAGGGGGCCGCGGGCAGGGC